GTTGCTCCATTCAGCGAATTCATCTTTATATTCATGTTCTTTCTCTCCAGCTTAATATCCAAAATTTAAAAGTGAGGAATGCAGAATAGTTGAACTAAAAGAAACAGATCAACCACAACCTGCCTCTTCTTCCTCTCACCCAAAGAAAACCATTGTTAACATTTTGCTATATTCTCTTTATGTACTTTTCTCAGGTACTTTTATTCGAATATATTTTTGATCATAAAATTGTCTTAGACAATAAGTTGTCAGAGAAGAACACCCACTCTTTTTACACTCCAGGCTTCCAGCTTGAAGGTGACTGACTTGGGAATCCTGTATTTTAACAAGATATGATGTTGATATGGAATCTTTTATTTGACTGTTCTGAGGTGTTCTCTTTTTAGCATACTCTCCTTCATCCCCTTCTTCCCTGCTATACACACACATACACATTCACACATACACGCATCCTTTTCTTTCTCTCTCACATGCACATTCTCATACGCAAATACAAGCATGCTCATACACATGTGCACACACACAGGCACGTGCATACACACACTCACACTCATATGAACCAACATGCACATACGCACTCTCCTTTATCTCTTTCCTCCCTGCTACACACACATACTCTAACACTCATATGCACATGTGCACACACACATATGTACAACATGCAATGTGTCAGAAGGCCATGTAGAAAATGATTGTTACCCTCCAAAAGGAAGGACACCCACACTTTTGCAATGGAAAAAAACAGCTCTGTTTTTGTAAAAAAAAAAAAAAAAAAAAGAATTTTCTATTAGGCCTAGAAAGAAACTTAAAAAGTGTTTCTTCTTTTATCTAATCGGAACTTGTGTATGTGCACACACCCGTGGATGAACCAACATTGACATATCACTGTCACCCATAGTTTATAATTGACATTAGGGACCATTCTTGCTGTCGTATATTCAGTGAGTTTTGACAAGGGGTGTAATGGCATGTGTCTACCGTTATAATAACACGCAGAGTAGTTTCATTGCCCTAAACATCCTCTATGCTCTGCCTATTTATCCTTCCCCACTTTTCAACCCCCAGCAATCACTGAACGTTTTGATGTCTCTATAGTTTTGCCTTTTCCAGAATGTCATATAGTTGGATTCATATAGTAAGTGGTCATTTGAGATTGGTTTCTTTCACTTAGTAGTATGTATTTGAGTTTCCTCTATGTCTTTTAATGGCTTCATAGCTCACGTGCTTTTTTTCTGCAACAAAAGCCACATTCAAAGATTATTGCTTTCATTGCTGAATAATATTCCACTGTGTCGATGTAGAGGTTTGTTTATCCAGGCACTTACGAGTCTATAGTAACCAGTGTGGAGCCTGGGGAAGCCATAAATGGCCTGGTTGTGGCGAAGGCCTGGAGCCTATGTCGATAGGAGCCATGGAGGTTGGAGGCATTAGATCTTAGAGCCATAGGGGAAGGCCTGGAGCTTGGGTTGACAGGGTCTGTCCCATAGCCTGTGGCTATAGAAACCTGCCTGGTGTTGAGTTCACTGAATTGTGCCTGGCATTGGAGTTGATGTTGAAGTCAGGTGTTACATTTGCTCTCCTCTCTGCACATACATGGTATCTCTTTCCATGCTGCACTACCCAGGTTTAGGGGCGGGGTAATGCAGATAATAGAAAACTCTTTTTTATACTCTATTTTATGCCATTTTTCTTACTTTTCTACTCCACAAACGTACTATAACCTCTCACCTGGATTCCTTGTCTCTTTTGAAGACACTTTGATGCACGGATGGCTGTTCAAATTGATGTTTCTGTGAAGGAATAAGTGCTGAAAAGTTCTGTTTTGCCATTTTGTTTATGGCATTCTTCTCTGTTAACTGAAAAAATATTTTTACTGAATAACATATTGTTAAAAATTGTCATACCCTTGGTTTAGCTCTGGAAGTTTCTCCTTCAGAGCAAGTTCCTTTCATAGTTCTCTATAGAAAGACTATAGTTGTAAAATGTTGGTAGAGATGATATTTTGTGTGTAGAATTAAGGACAGATTACACATAAATGTTTAGCGGACAGTAAACATTTGTGAGTAATCTGTTCTTACACACAAAAAGAAGGTCTATAGCTTTAGGAAAGGGAAAATTATCAAGGTTATTCAGACAATATAAAATGAGTTGAGAAAATTGAAGGGAATGTTTATACTTGAATGAGACCTCATGGAGAAAGACAAAATAAGGAAGCCATGGGAGAATATTTGCATTCTCGGAACCACAAAAGTGAGGAAAGCCAAGAGCACAGCTGGAGTTGCACCAGATCAAGTAGACATTCCATCAGAGCCTGAACTGAGAATGCACCATTCCTAGTCACCTTGATAACAGCCCCATTTTCTGTTAATAATACTCTATGAGAAAAATCTTGCAAAAATAGTCAGAAAAGGCAGAGTCACATGCGGTTCAGTGTGTTCCACCTTGGCAGACGGTCTTAGGAGGAGTTTTGGAAGGATCGTGCTGCAGGCAATGGATGAGATAATGATGAGAAGTTTTCCAGCTCTGTATAAAAAGGCAAGCGAAATATATGCTTGTGAATTTTGGCTGCTTTTTTATGCTGTATTTTCAGATCAATTTTATCCCAGTTAATGTGAATATGAACTCTGATTGTTATGGCTATCTCTCGTGGGGTGTCTATTATTTTGTCAGAAATTGTATCAGGAACTTTATATCAATCACTAAATTACACATTTCCAAGCTGCATATGAATTAGGTATTACTATGATCATTTTACAGATGAAGAAGATGAGACTCAGAGCAATACATAAGTTGTCCAAGGTCAGAGAGCAAGTAAGTACCAGAAATAAAAGCCAGATAAATCTCATTCCCATATCCTTGCTCTTTCTATGATGTTTCAGAGTTGATTACAGAAAGAATTGTTCTGTGTGCCCAGGATAATTTACTACCTACTAAATTTAACCATAGGGCAGTCTTATAAACAGGGTAGAGTATGCAGTTAAGATAAAATTTGTGAGGAAAAAATTAAATTAAAATAGTATATAACCAATGATCAGAATATTCTCTCAGTATTTTAGAAATTGATGTAAGAATAAACTAGATACTGATAAAAAAGTCACATTCTTTATGCACAAACCTTGTAAGTAGCTACTGTTAAAGAGAGGATATTATTTACCTAGAAGAAAGTGGGGTTGTCAACCACTATATAACCATTCGTGGGGTCAATGTCTTTTTTATTTTAGGCCTCTGGCTGATGGATCCAAGAGGTAGATACGTGATGTCAAAATATTCTCTTTTATAGGTAATTACAATTTACAATGGAAGATACAGAGGCCACAAGGTAGTAGAGTTGAGTTATATTAACAGAAAACCTTGTTAGAGAAAAGAACCACCTCTCACTATCATGTTCAATGGCAAAGATTAATAGGAGGTACAGCAAAATGGACACACATGCGAGTATACCCACATTCATATTGGAAGTAACTTTTTTTTTCTTATATACTATAAATCATATCCCAGAATATACTCATAATGTGTACACTTATTGGGATATTACAATCAACGTACAAAATATGTACCATATGTACATTGACTGTGATGTACATATGTGTACGCAATACAGATGTACAAAAAATGTACATAATCTGTATAATATGTACATTTATATGTACATAATGTGTACACAGTAGGTATGTACATAATGTGTACAATATGTAAATATATTATAATATTACAATGATTTCATATAATCACAACAGCATATATAATCACAATACACATATAATACATAATATCAATATAAATGTACATATTGCACACATATACATTTACATTTATTGTGATATTACGATATGTGCACATGTACATCATGCACACGTGCAGATTTGCGGTATATACACGTGTACATAAGTGTGCACAGTATGTACATATTTACACTACACATATGTTCATATAATGTAGATATGTACCTTCTGTACAGGAGTACACAATATGTACAATATGTACACGTATATACTAGGTACACATATAGGTGTATACCCACTTTGGTAACCGGAGAGATTTTTATCTAATATACTAAATATAAAATCCCAGAATGTAGTCATAGTGTGTACATTTATTGTCGTATTGTGATAAATGTATTAAATAGGCACAATCTGTACATGTACTCTGCTGTACATAGGTGTACACAATGCACATATACAAAAAATGTACATAATCTGTAAAATATGTACCTATATATTTCTTTAATGTGTACACAATTCATAGGTACATAATGTGTACACTATGCACATTTCTTAAAATATCAGTGATAAAATATATATAATCACAGTAAGATATATAATCACAGTAATACATATATCTTGTGTAATATCACCAAAAAGTACGTATTGTACACATTAGGTATGTATTAGGTACATATGTATAGTGCACATATTATGAAAATATATATGTATCATGATAACACCATATGTACACGTATACAAATATGTGCCTTATTATTTAAACAATGTACACATGCAGAAATAGGTGCAAACTACATACCTATGCACAGCAGGCTATTACTACAGTTCCGCTCGTAGCAGCCTCAATGCCCACCCTGGCTGCTTAAAGACCCCCTGGATAGGGGGCTGTACCCACAGCCCCCGCCAGAGGGCCTATAACAGCTACCAGGCCCACGCTGGATGCTTAGGGACCCCCTGCCTAGGGCGCTGTGCCCACAGCTGCTGGGGCCTGGCTATTTTGAAAATTTGGTGTAATATGATACTGGAAACCTTTCACACAGAAATGATAATGTTATTGTGGTTCTTTACATATTAGGCAATAGTTCTAGTTACACATTTGGCATATTGACAAAAATGTCATCCTCACCCCATTGACATTAGAGTTGAAAGCATAGGAGGGTTTCACCCCTTGCAATGTTTAATTCAATATAATTGTTTTCTTGTTTACATTAGTGACCATAACAGAGCACGGTGTACATCTCTTGCAGTATTCAGAGAATATTTCTCTATGGGCAACAACATTTTTCTCTCCTTATCTGGATATTAGGAAGAATATCACAGGACCGGCTTACAGCGCCAGTCACATCGTGAGCAATGTCATCTGTAATCCCCTAGTTATTAAGAACAATGTAACGGGGGTCTTGTGTGCTTTTGGAGATATTTGGAGTAATATCCTTTTAGTTTCTGCATATTAGAAACAATACTACAGTGGTGGTGTACACTTCCTGTGATATTAAGAGTATACTCATCCTCTGTCCCTGGGTTATTAGGAACTACATCGCAGAAGCGTTGCACTTTGCCTATAATATTGGAACAATCACAGAGTGTACACCTTCTTTCATTGTGAGAGAAATACCTACTTAGGATATGATGGATAATATCACAAAATGGACACACATGGGTATATACCCACTGTGATATTGGAAGTCATTTTTATCTAATATACTAAAAGTCATAACCCAGAAAAAACTCATAATGTGTAGACTTATTGGGATATTTACACTCAATGTACAGAATATGTAACATATGTACATTGACTGTGATGTACATACATGTACACAATACAGATGTACAATAAATGTACATAAACTGTATCATTTGTACGAATATATGTACAAAATGTGCACACAATAGGTATGCACATAATGTGTACAATATGTACATTTATGGTAATATCTCAATGTTATATAATCACAACTGCATATAAAACCACAATACACATGTAATATCAATATAAATGTACATATTGCAAACATGTACATTTACATTTATTGTGATATGATATGTAAAAATGTACATCATGTACCTATTATGTACAGATGCACAATATATGCAAGTGTACATATGTGGGTACAGTATGTACATATGTACACTACACATGTGTACATATAATGTGGATATGTACCTTCTGTACCCAAGTACATTCTATGCACAATATGTACACATATAAAATATGTACACACCTGGGTGTACAACCACTTTGGTAACCGGAGAAATTTCTATCTATCTAATATACAAAATATAATAATTCAGAATGTAGTAATAGTGTGTACATTTATTGGCATATTGCAATAAATGTATAAAATAGGTACAATCTGTACATTTACCCTGCTGTACATATGTGTACACAATGCACATGTACAAAAAATGTACATACTCTGTAAAATATGTACCTACATATTTCTATAATGTGTAAACAATGTATAGGTACATAATGTGTACACTATGCACATTCCTTAAATATCAGTGATAAAATATATATAATCAAAATAACGCATATAATCACAGTAATATATATATATCATGTAATATCACAAAAAAGTACATATTGTACACAGTAGGTACACATTAGGTCTATATGTATGGTGCACATATGTACATATATATTTATCATAACACCATGTGTACACTTATACAAATATGTGTTCATTATTAAAACTATGTACCTGTGCAGAACAAGCTATTACCACAGCCCCCCTCGTAGCAGCCCCAAGGCCCACCCTGGCTTAAAGACACCCTGGCTAGGGAGCTGTAACCACATTCCCCGCCAGAGGGCCCGTAACAGCTCCCAGGCTGACGCTGGCTGCTTAGGGTCCCCCTGGCTAGGGCGCTGTGCCCGGTTATTTTGAAAATGTGGTGTAATATGATGCTGGCGACCATATCATATGGAAATGATGTTATTCTGGTTTTTGATATACTAGGCAATAGTTCTAGTTACACCTCTGCCATATTGACAAAAATGTCATCCTCACACCCCTGGACATTAGAATTGAAATCATAAGGGGGTTTCACCCCTTGCAATGTTAAATTCAATATAATTGTTTTCTTGTTTACATTAGTGACCATATCAGAGCACAGTGTACTCCTCTTGCCGTATTCAGAGGATTTGCCTATGGGCAGCAACATTATTCTCTCGTTCTCTGGATATTAGGAACAATATCACAGGACCGGCGGACAGCCCCAGTCATATCGTGAGTAATGTCATCTGTAATCCCTTAGTTATTAGAGAAAAAATATCACGGGGGTCTTGTGTGCTTTATCAGATATTTGGAGTAATATCTTTTCCGTTTTTGGATATTAGACACGATACTACAGTGGTGGTGTACACTTCCTGCGATATTCAGGGTATAATAATCTTTTGTCCCCAGGATATTAGGTAGTACATTAAAGAAGCCTTGTGCTTTGCCTGTGATATTGGAACAATCACAGAGTGAACACTTGCTTTCAAAATGAGAGTAATATCTACTTAAAATATGATGGATAATATAAAAAAATGGACACACATGGGTGTATACCCACTTTGATATAGAAAGAAATTTTTATCTAATATACTAAAAATCATATATCACAATATACTCATAATGTGTACACTTATTGAGATGTTACAATCAATGTGCAGAATACATACCATATGTACATAGAGTGTTATGTACATATGTGTACACAATACAGATGTACCAAAAACGTACATAATCTGTACAATATGTGCAATTACAGGTACATAATGTGTTACACAATAGGTATGTACGAAATGTGTGCAATAGGTATATTTATTGTAATATTACAATGATATCATATAATCACAACAGCATATAAAATCACAATACACAAGTAATACATAATATAAATGTACATATTGCACACATCGTGTACATTTACATTTATTGTGGTATCACGGTGTGTACACATGCACATCATGTACCCATTATGTACACATGTACAAAATATGCACATGTACATATGTGTGAACAGTATGTGCATGTGCACACTATGTACACATAAATACATATAATGTTGACATGTACATTTTGTACATGAGTACCTAATATGCACAATATGTACACGTATAAACTATGTACACACCTGGGTGTACACCCACTTTGGTCAATGGAGTAATTTCTAATATGGTAAAAATTATATTTAGAATGTACTCATAATGTGTACATTTATTGGCATATCACAAGAAATGTATAAAATAGGTACAGTCTGTACATTTACTCTGCTGTGCATAGGTGTACACAATACACATGTAGAAAAAGTGTACATAATCTGTAAAATATGTACCTGTATATTTCTATATTGTGTACACAATACATAGGTATATAATGTGTACACTATGCACATTCCTTAAAATATTAGTGATAAAATATATTTAATCACAATAAGATATATAATCAGAGTAATATATATTGTCTAATATTACAAAAAAGTACATATTGTACACATTAGGTATGCATTAGGTACATATGTATTTTGCACATATTATGTAAATATAAATTTATCGTGATAACTCCATATGTACGCATGTACATATATATGCCCGATATTAAAACTATTTACACATGTAGTAATAGGTGAAAACTATGTACCGATGCACAGCACGCTATTACCAAAGCCCCCCTCATAGCAGCCCCCAGGCCCAGCCTGGCTGCTTAGAGACCCCTGGCAATTGGGCTGTGCCCACAAACACTGCTCGAATGCCTGTAGCAGCCCCCATGCCCACCCTGGCTGCTTAGTTAGGGACCCCCCTGACTAGGTGTCTGTGCCCACAGCCCATGCCAGAGTGCCCGTAGCAGCCCCCAGGCCAACCATGGCTGCTCGGGGACCCCTGGCTGGGTCGATGTGCTCACAGACCCCACCAAAAAGCCCAGAGCAGCCCCCAGGCCCACCCTGGCTGCTTAGGGGTCCCCTCGCTTGTGGGCTCTGCCCACAGCTGCTGAGGCCCAGCTATTTTGCAAATCCGGTGTAATATGATACTGGCAACCATATTATATAAAAATGATAATCTTATTCTGTTTTTTTGTATATTAGGCAATAGCTCCAGTTACACCTCTGCCATATTGACAAAAATGTCATCCTCACCCCCGTTGACATTAGAATGAAAATCATAGGGGAGTTTCATTCCTTGCAATGCTTAATTCAATGTAATTGTTTTCTCGCTTACATCAGTGACCATATCAAAGCATGGTGTACACCTCTTGCCGTATTAAGAGTATTTCCCTATGGGCAGCAACATTTTCCTCTTCCTCTCCTCTCCTTCTCTGGATATTAGGAACAATATTCCAGGACCAGGGTACAGCCCCAGTCACGTCGTGGGTAATGTCATCTGTAATTCTCTAGTTATTAGAAACAATATCACGGGGTGCTTGTGTGCTTTCTGAGATATTTGGAGTAATATCCTTTCCGTTTTTGAACATTAGAAACAATACTACAGTGGTGGTGTACACTTCCTGCGATATTCAGGGTATGGTCATCCTTTGTCCTCAGGATATTATTAACTACATCACAGACGAGTTTTAGTTTGCCTTGATATTGGAGCAATCCGAGAGTGTAAACCTGCTTTCACAATGAGAGAAACACCTACTCAGTATATGATGGATAATATCACAAAATGGACACACATAAGTGTATACCCACTTTGATATTGAAGTAATTTTTATCTAACATACTAAAAATCATATCCCAGAATATACTTATAATGTGTACTCTTACTGAAATATTACAAACAATGCACAGAATATGTACCATATGTACGTTGACTGTGATGTACATATGTGTGCACCATACAGATGTACAATAAATATACATAATCTGTACAATATGTACATTTATGTGTACATAATATGTACACAATAGGTATGTCCATAATGTGTACAATATGTACATTTGTAATATCACAATGATATCAGAACAGCATATACAATCACAATACACATGTAATACATAATATAAATGTACGTATTTCACACATTATGTACATTTCCATTTATTGTGGTATGACGATGTGTTTACATGTACAGCATGGACCCATTATGTACGTATGTACAATAAATTCAGGTGTAGATATATGTACATAGTATGTACATATGTACGCTCTGTACCCATACATACATATAATGTAGATATTTACCTTCTGTACACAAGTACATAATATGCACAGTATGTACATGTACAAAATATGTGCACACATAAGTGTACACCCACTTTGGTAACCAGAGTAATTTCTATCTTATATTCTAAATGTAATATCACAGAAATGTACTCATAATGTGAACATTTATTGGCATATCACAATAAATGTATAAAGTAAGTAAGATCTGTACATTTACTCTGTGTACCCAATACACAAGTAAATAAAATGTACATAACCTGTAAAATGTGTTTCTTTCTATTTCTATAATCTGTGCACAATGCATAGGTACATAATGTGTATAATATGTACATTTGTAATGTCACAATGATATCATATCACAACAGCATATATAATCACAATAAACGTAATACATAATATAAACGTACATATTGCAAACATTATGTATATTTACATTTATTGTGATATGTGTACACATGTACATCATGTACCCATTATGTACAGATGTACAATATATGCATGTGTACATATGTGTGCATAGTATGTACCTATGTATGCTGCGTACACCTATGTATAATGTAGACATGTACATTCTGTACATGAGTACATAATATGCACAACATGTACATGTATAAACTATGTGCGCACCTGGGTGTAAACCCACTTTGGGGTCACCGGTGTAATTCCTATCTAATATGCTAAAAATTATATCCTAGAATGTACTCATGTGTACATTTATTGACATATCACAATAAATGTATAAAATAGGTATAGTCTGTACATTTACTCTGCTGTACATATGTGTACAAAATACACATGTAGAAAAAATGTACATCATCTGTAAAATATGTACCTATTTATTTCTATAATGTGTACACAATGCATAGGTACATAAAGTGTACTCTATGTACATTTCTAAAAATTTCAGTGGTAACATACATATTATCACAATAAGATATATAATCAATAATATGTAGATATCACATAATATCACCAAAAAGTACATATTGTTTATATTAGGTACGTATAAAGTACATATTTATTGTACACATAGTATGTACATATATGTTTATTGTGATAATATTATATGTACATGTGTACAAATGTGTGCCCATTATGTAAACAATCTACACATGTAGAAATAGGTGCAAACTGTGTACCTGTGAAGAGCAGGGTATATCCCCACACCTCCCGCCAAAGGGCCTATAGCAGCTGCCAGCCCCACCCTGGCTACGCAGGGAACCCCTGGTTAGGTGGCTGTGCCCATAGCCCTGCCAGAGTGACAGTAGCAGCCGCCAGGCCCTCCCTGGATGCTGAGAGACCCTCTGGCTATGTGGCTGTTACCACAGCCACCACCAGAGGGCCCGAAGCAGCCCCCAGACAAATCACAAAGGGCCCGTAGCAGCTGCAATGCCCAACCTGGTTGCATAGGGACACCCTCGCTTGGCTGCCATGCCCACAGCTTCTGGGGCCCAGATATTTTGAAAATGTGGTGTAATATGATAATGGCAATCATATCATATGTAAATAATAATTTTATCCTTTTTTATTATATAGTAGACAATAGCTGAAGTTACACCTCCGCCATTTTGACAAAAATGTCTTCCTCAACCCCTTGAAATTACAAGGAAAATTATAGGGAAGGTTAACACCTTGCAATATTTAATTCAATATAATTGTTTTCCTTGTTTACATTAGTGAAAATATCACAGCACGGTGTACTCGTCTTGCCGTATTCAGAGGATTTGCCTATGGGCAGAAACATTCCCCTCTCCTTTTCTGGATATTAGAAACATTATCACAGGACCGGCAAACAGCCGCAGTCATATCGTGAGTAATGTCATCTGTAATCCCCTAGTTATAAAAAACAACATCAAGGGGGTCTTGTGCACTTTATGAGATACTTAGAGTAATGTTAGGATTTGGGTAATTTACATGAGGGAGAATATTGAGTTGGTGTATACACTCCAAAACACAGTAGAAAGGGCATTGTATATTTTTCTGACAGATTATATTGAGAGCAATTTTGCTTTTAACATTGGGGTACCTAGATAATATTTAGATTTTTTCGATTAGCGTAAATTAAGAATTTCAGTATTTTACACAAGAGAGCATATTGAATTGGTGTATATACTCCAAAACAGAGTAGAATAGGGCATTGTATATTATTTCTGACAGATCATATTCACAGAGCAAATTGCTTTTAACATTGGGTTGCCTAGATAATATTTAGGTTTTTTACGATTCGCGTAAATTTAGAATTTCCATATTTTAAATAATAGAGCATATTGAGTTGGTGTATATACTCCAAAACAGAGTAGAAAAGCGCATTTTATATGTTTTCTGACAGATAATATTCAGAGCAATGTTGCTGTTAACATTGGGGTGCGTAGATAATATTTAGATTTTTTTCGATTTGCATAAAATTAGAATTTCGGTATTTTACATGAGAGAGCATATTGACTTGGTGTATATACTCCAAAACAAAGTAGAATAGCGCATTGTATATTTTTTCTGACAGATTATATTCAGAGAAATTTGCTTTTAACAATGGTGTGCCTAGATAATATTTAGATTGTTTCGATTCACGTAAAATTAGAATCTCGGTATTCTACATGAGAGAGCATATTGAGTTGGTGTATATAATCCAAAACAGTGCAGAAAAGGGCATTGAATATTTTTTCTGACATTTTTTCTTCTGACAGACTATATTCAGAGAAATTTTGCTTTTAACATTGGGGTGCCTAGATTATATTTACATTTTTTTCGACTCGTGTAAATTAGAATTTCGGTATTTTACATGTGAGAGCATATTGAGTTGGTGTATATACCCCAAAACAGAGTAGAATAGGGCGTTGTATATTTTTCTGACAGATTATATTCAGAGCAATTTTTCTTTTAACATTGCTGTGCCTAGGTAATATTTAGAGTTTGTTAGATTCACGTAAAATTAGAATTTCAGTATTTTACATGAGAGAGCATATTGAGTTGGTGTATATACTCCAAAACAGAGTGGAAAAGAGGATTGTATACTTTTTCTGACAGATTATATTCAGAGAAGTTTAGCTTTTTACATTGGGGTTCTTACATATTATTTAGATTTTTTTCGATTGGCGTAAAATCAGAATTTCGGTACTTTACATGAGAGAGCATATTGAGTTGCTGTGTATACTCCAAAACAGAGTAGATGTATATTTTTTTGACAGACTATATTTATAGCGATTTTCTTTTAACCTAGGGGTGCCTAGATAATATTTAGAATTTCTTCGATTTGCGTAAAATTAGAATTTCGATGTTTTACATGAGAGAGCATATTTAGTTGGTGTATATACTACAAAGCAAAGTAGAAAAGGGCATTGTATATTTTCTCTGACAGACTATATTCAGAAAAATTTTGCTTTTAACGTTGGGGTGCCTAGATAATATTTAGATTTTTTTGATTCGCGTAAATTTAGAATTTCGGTATTTTACATGAGGGAGTATATTGAGTTGGTTTATATACTCCAAAACAGAGTAGAAAAGGGCATTGTATTATTTTTGACAGAATATATTCAGAGACATTTTCTTTTAACTTTGGGGTGCCTAGATAATATTTAGATTTTTTTCGATTCTCGTACAATTAGAATTTCTGTATTTTACATGCGAGAGCATATTGAGTTGGTCTATGTATTCTGACGAAATACATGCAGAGCAATTTTGCTATTACCATTGGGGTGCCTAGATAATATTTAGATTTCATTTGATTAACGTAAATTTAGAATTTCGGTATTTTACATGAGAGAGCATATTGAGTTGGTCCATATACTCCAAAACCGAGGACAAAAGGGCATTGTATATTTTTTCTGACAGATTATAATCAGAGCCATTTTCTTTCAATATTGGGGTGTCTAGATAATATTTAGATTTTTTTCAATTTGCGTATAATAAGAATTTCGGTATTTTATATGAGAGAGCATATTGGGTTTGTGTATATACTCCAAAACGAAGTAGAAAATGGTATTGTATATTTTTTCTGACAGACTATAATCAGAGCAATTTTACTTTCAACATTGGGGTGCCTAGGTAATATTTAGATTTTTTTCAATTCGCGTAAATTTAGAATTTCGGTATTTTACATGAGAAAGCATATTGAATTGGTGTATATACTCCAAAACAGAGTAGAAAAGGGCATTTGTGTATTTTTTCTGACAGATTATATTCAGAGCAATTTTGATTTTAACAATGGGGTACCTAGATAATATTTTGATTTGTTTCCCTTCGTGTGAAATTAAAATTTCTGTATTTTACATTAGACAGCATATTGAGTTGGTGTATAAACTCGAAAACAAAGTAGAAAAGGGCACTGTATATTTTCTCCCACAGACTTTGTTCCGAGAAATTTTGCTTTTTACATTGGGGTGCCTAGATAATATTTAGATATTTTTCGATTCGTGTATATTTAGAATTTCATTATTTTACATGAGAGAGCATATTGAATTGGTGTATATACTCCAAAATAGAGTAGAAAATAGTATTGTATATTTTTCTGAAAGATTATATTCAGAGCCATTTTCTTTTAACTTTGGGGTGCCTAGATAATAGTTAGATCTTATTCAATTAGCGCAAATTTAGAATTTCGGTATTTTATATAAGAGAGCATTTGAGTTGGTGTATGTACTCCAAAACAGAGTAGAAAGAAAGAGTCATTGTATATCTTTTATGACAGATTATATTCAGAGCTATTTTCTTTTAACATTGGCTTTCCTACATAATATTTAGATTTTTTTGAATATGCGTAAAATTAGAATTTCGGTATTTTACCTGAGAGAGCATATTGATTTGGTGTATATAATCCAAACCAGAGACGAATAGGGCATTGTATGTAGATTTTATTTGATCAGTGTAAATTTATAATTTTGGTATTTTACATGAGAGAGCATATTGAGTTGGTGTATATACTTGAAAACACAGAGTAGAAAAGGACGTAGTATATTTTCTCTGACATATTTTGTCCGAGAAATTTTGGTTTTTACATTGGGGTGCCTAGATAATAATTAGATTTCCTTCGATTCCCGTATATTTAGAATTTCTGTATTTTCCATGAGAGAGCATATTGAATTGGTGTGTATACTCCAAAATAAAGTAGAAAAGGGCATTGTATATTTTTTCTGACAGTTTATATCAGAGAAATTTTCTTTTAACATTGGCGTGCCTAGATAATATTTAGATTTTTTTCGATTTGCGTAAATTTACAATTTCTGTATTTTACATGAGAGAGCATATTGAGTTGGTGTATATACTCCAAAAAAGAGTAAAAAACGGCATTGTATATTTTTTCTGACAGATTATATTCAGAGCAATTTTGTTGTTAACATTGGGGTGCCTAGATAATATTCATATTTATTCGATTTGGGTAAAATCAGAATTTCGTTATTTTTACATAAGAGAGCACACTGAGTTGGTGTATATACTCCAAAACAGAGTAGAAAATGGCATTGTACATTTTCTCTGACAGATTATATACAGAGCAATTTTGCTTATAATATTGGGGTGCATAGATAATATTTAGATTTTTTTTCGATTCGCTTAAATATAGAATTTCTGTATTTTACATGAGAGAGCATATAAATTTGGTGCAAATACTCCAAAACAGAGTAGAATAGGGCATTGTTTATTTTTTTTCTGACAGACTATATTCAGAGCAAATTTTTTTTAACATTGGGGTGCCTAGATATTATTTAGATTTTTTTCGATTCACGTAAATTTAGAATTTCGGTATTATACATGAGAGAGAATACTGAGTTGGTGTATAGACTCCAAACAAAGTAGAATAAGGCATTTTATGTTTTTTCTAACAGACTATATTCAGAGGCATTTTCGTTTAACTTTGGGTGCCTAGATATTATTTAGATTTTTTTCGATTCACGTAAAATTATATTTGTATTTTCCACAAGAGAGCATATTGAGTTGGTGTATATACAACAAAACAGAGTAGAAAAGGGCATTGTATATATTTTTATGAGAGATAATATTCAGAGCAATTTTGCTTTTAAAAACATTCGGGGTGCCTAGATAATATTTAAATTTTTTTTTGAATTACGTCAAATTAGAATTTCTGTATTTCACAGAGAGAGCATACAGAGTTGGTGTATATACTCCAAAACACAGTAGAATAAGCTATTGTATGTTTTTTCTAACAGACTATATTCAGAGCCATTTTCTTTTAACTTTGGGGTGCCTAGATATTATTTAGGTTTTTTTTTTTTTTTTTTTTTGCGATTTGCGGAAAATTAGAATTTTCGGTATTTTACCTGAGAGAGCATATGCAGTTTGTGTATATACTCCAAAACAGAGTAGAATAGGGCATTGTATATTTTTTCTGACTGATTATATTCAGAGCAATTTTGTTTTTAACATTGGGGTGCCTAGATAATATTTAGATTTTTTTCGATTCGAGTAAAATTAAGAATTTTCTGTATTTATCGGAGAGAGCATATTGAGTTGGTTTATATACTCCAAGAAATAGTAGAATAGGGCATTGTATATTTTATCAGACAGATTATATTCAGAGAAGTTTTGTTTTTAACATTGGGTGCCTACAGATATATTTAGATTTTTTCGATTCGGTATATTAGAATTTCTGTATTTTACATGAGAACGCAAACTGAGTTATGGTATATACTCCAGAACAGAGTAGAAAAGGGCGTTGTATATTTTTTTTATGACAGATTAAATTCAGAGCAATTTTGTTTTTTAACATTGGGTGCCTAGATCATATTGAGATTTTTATGATACG